CTAACTACTTATTTTTTGCTACTCATGTAACACATCTTGAGTTCAGAATCAAATACTAAATGCGTATTATTCTTAACTTGCTACCAGTTTTAAAAACAGGATTTTAACAATTCACTATAAAATTTAAAGTGATCCAAATATTTTATATACTCTTCCAGATTATAGTGGATTAAAATCAATTTTCAAATGTTAAACCAACCTTACATTCCTAAAATAGTCTAAACTTTTAAAATAGATTTATTTTACATTCATTTCTCTTTTCATACCTTATGAGATTCAGTTTTCCAGCACTGTGGTGGGTGTTTTGTTTTTCAATTACATTCACGAATGGAACTTGCCTGCAATTTCCTTCTCTCATAATAAGTATCTTGAGTTTGGGCACTAAGGTTATTCTGGCCTTCAAACATGTTTGAATATTTCCTACTCCCACAGTGAACTTAAGTAAGGCTGGTACTATTTCTTAAGTACCAATCAGAACTCACCAGTGATACAGTCCATGCTCAGAGTTTTCTCTATGAAATGTTTTAAAATTATGAATTTAAATTCATTAATTCAGTTTTTTTATACCTTAGTATTGGCAATTCTTATACATTGTGGATATCTAGAAACATGGCCATGTGGTCTACGTTTTCAAATTTTGGGCATAATGTTTAAACTTTTTAGTATTTGTCAGGTCTATCTATATTGATAACTATTTTGCCATTCCTGATTAGCTAACTATGTTGACCAGAAATTAACTTTTCTTTCTGTTTGCTGGAACAAACTCATTTAAATGTCCACAACTCTCCAGCCATCATTATCTTCTTGTCTGAAGTTGCCCCAAGTCCAGCTCACACCGTTGATCAACCAGCCTGCTGAAGACGTGACCAACAGAACCCTGTTTCCTGCTTGGTCTCTGATGCTTTCAAGCAGTTACCCCACATCCCCATAGTATCTCCTCCTATTTACTGCAGTACTCTTTGGGCCTGAATTACTTTTTCCTTAAAAAACTTTTAGAGACATACACTGTAACTTTTATTTAAGAGGCTGCTTCTTTCTCTTAACAGATTGAGTTAGCCTGCCGTACACAGTACAGACAGCAGCCATTTGGATGGCAGGACTGGGAAGAGACAAGAAACAGACACAGTGCTTGGCCATGCTCACCTCCAGTAAGCTCCGCCTGCTGTCTCCAGCCCTAGCTGAGGCTCCTATGGTACTGTGAGGCTCTGTCCTCTCTGCCCTCATCCAGGCATCGCCTTATCCTCCCACCTGCTCTGTTCACTTTGCACAGCAGAGTAAGGAACGGCTTCCCATTTAAGTCCAATCAGTAAAACGTTGGTTCAAGGAGTGAAGCATGTGAGGACTTTAAGAAATTCTTCCTACAAGCCTAGAAATGCCTTTACCTGTTACCACCTTGGCTGTCTCCCAAAAACAGCTATGCGGAACAGTGTGCCTAGACAGCTATTTGGCCCCGTCAACTCAATTACTAGATATGTATTATACATCAAATATGGCAATATAGTCTGAAAAAATAATTATGGAGACACGGTTTAATTGGGGGTGGGGGGATACCATGCACATATGTGTTCATGTGTGTGAGTAAAGGTTCAAACATATGAAAAGCCAGACAACCTTGGTGTTGACTGTCTTGTATTCATGTCTGAGACATGGTCTCTTTCTAATGTTTGCCACCGTGTATACCAGGGGACGGGCGGGCGTCTGAGTGGCAGAGGATTCTGTCTCTGCCTCCCATCTCCCTGGTAGGAGCCCTGGGGTTACAGATGTATGCAGCCACATCCACTTACATGGTTCTGAGCATTCAAACTCAGGTCCTCACACTTGTGTGGCAACTGTTTTCCATCTGGAGCCACGCCCCCAGCCTGGCGACAAAGTACTGACTAATATAAAATTACGTAAACTGTGTAATTTGTCAAAGTGGTTGGTCTACCTGCTAGTTGGCCACCAAGAAGGCACATCTTACCATTC